CTTCTTATTTAATATCGGAGAAAGCATTCATTTCTCCACAGCCAGGAATGGACCGGCTCTCATGAATAATTTAAAAAGAAAACTGTACTTGGATTTAGTTAATGTTTGTTAGTCCAGTGCAAATGGTTTCATCCTGTGGCACTCTTGCCCGTGAGGCCTCTTAAGCGTTGGCCTTTTCAGCTGCTCTGATGATGACGTCCTCATCACGAATGCTTCTGAACACTCGTTTGAGAAAAAAGCTTCTGTCAGAGCCGATAATTCTACTGTAGAAGAAAAAAAAAGTTTCTCTTGTTTCAGAGTGCTGCACACACAAACACACACACACCCATGTTCCTCTGACCACTCCAGCGTGTCCCCACATTGCAGGCATCGCGTCTGTGGTTGCAGCGTCCCCTGTAAACAAATGAATACCCAGATATTAGCTCGCTTTAACGATAAATCCATTATGACTCACTCACCGCTGGCTCTACAGACGGAAAGCTTCTTAGAAGTACATGTGGTCAATGCAAAGCTGGCAGAATTTTCATTCTCGCTTCATATGCAAAGTGCTTCGTGCCCCATGTTTGAACTACAAATGCACAAAACCCTCTTTTTTGCTGGTATGCACGAAGCAGGGAAACAGACATGCATCTGAACCTCTAAATGTAAGCCCCCTTATAAGTTGTGAAATGAGGACATTTGCTAGCCCTGTGCAAAATTTTAGGTGCTTTAGATATTTAGGACTGTGTACATCAGTCAATGCATCAGATCAGACCAGCATTTATTGTGCAGCATTACAACAGCACCAAACATACTTAAAGCCTCATAACAGACTGTTTTGAGCTAGAAGAACAAGGAGTCTTGCGACAGATGGCATGGTAGACACAGAGCCCTGATCTTAGCATCATGGAGTCAGTCTGGGATTATATGAAGAGGAATATGCAACTAAGACAGCATAAATCAGCAGAAAAAATTGTGGCAAATTCTTTAAGGCACCTGGAAAAACCTAACCTGGAAAGAACCTTGAGAAAAATGGGGAGGGGATCTGCTTTTGACATCGTGACCTTCTTTATACGGAGCTATTGTTTTACAGTTCAGTTTATCTCGGGATGAGTCTTTTCATAGGAACCAAAATACACTGAGCTCAGAAAGAAGGCTCATTTAATATTGATAAGATTACCCATTTGCCTCAGTAAACAGACACTTTTATCAGCCAGCCTTATTTGCATGGGCGCTTGAGCAGCTTTGTGAAAGACGATTAAAACAAACAAAAAAATAATAGTAGTGCAAATTCCTGTGACCGACAGCAGTAGCCTCCCCATTTACTTTGAGTAAAGAACATGCGTTTTAAAGCAACTGTGGTTCAATGGTTAATATACAGGCGGCGAGTCAATTTGTGTTCAGCCATCTGTTTTAATGGGAGAGAGCAGCTTGTTGTGGAGGCTTTTATTTGACTACAGGTCTGGGTCTGGGAGGGAGAAGACTACTGGGCATGCAAACAGGACGATTTACATGCAAAGGTAGAGGAAAGGACAAGCAGCTGTGTGTATGTGTGCTGGAGTGGGTATCTCAAGGACACACACACTCTTCCATGCACACACACACACACACACACACACACACACACACACACACACACACACACACACACACACACACACACACACACGCACTTCTAGCTTGAAGTCTAGTATTTAAATGAACTTTGTTAGGGCTCATATGTGGGGCCTCTTTTAAATGCTTATGCATTTGTTGTCATTTAAACTAACAATAATGTTCCATAAGCAATATTTTTAGCACCTTTTTTCCTCACACTTTGCCATTTCACCAAGTTTAGTGATTTGGTGAATGGCTAATAAATATATTCTGTTTTTAAAAAAAACCCTAAAATGTAAAATCTGAAGATTCAAATTTGAGCTATTTTAACTTTTTGTTCTCTGATCTGTTGTTTGACTTTAAAACCTTAATTATCTACTTTATTATTAACTAGTGTATCTTAATGTAGCTTGAGACACACACACAGACACACAATGGTGATCCAGTGGTCATCATTACATGTCTTAACGTGTGTGAGATGATGCTTTTCAGACAAAAAAAGACAACAAAAGGAAGAAGAAGAGAAAAGAAATGAGCTGCAATTTAGATACTCACCAGAGGTGTGTCTTGTCCCTCCTGCATGGCTGAAATAGATGTTCCCCTCTTGTTCCCCTGCAGAACCACACCTGTGAGAGCTCAGCGGGTGTCCTTCCACAAGCCTCAGGTGAACCTCCTGGGCTATTAGGAAGTAGCGCAAAGGTGGGGCCCTCCCTCCAGCCAATCCCAGACACTGGCGTGCACCATCACTTTGCATGTTGGTCAGCCGTTGCACATCACCCTCATCTGGACCACACCTTTACTTGCAAAATGGAACAGCCTTGTGTCTAGTTTCTCTACACTTCAGGGCAATGTTCTTGGACAGCTTAAGAATTATAGGCTTAACATTTCCATATGGAAACTTTCCACATGTTTGACATGGTCAGTGAATGGTGTGTGTTGTATATAAAACGAATGGACACGAAGGTTCAGTGTATTTCCTTCATTTTGGTGCTCTGTATTGTGCTCACTTGCTTCAGTTTATCAGAGGTGTAACTCAAAATGCCTACCGGTCAGTGACAGACTCAAGTTTAGAGAAGAGGGGCTCAAAGGTCACCAGACTGATCGGGAAAAGTCATATGAGGAGTGCGAATCGTTCCTTCTTTATCATTACTATTCTGATCTTGCAGTGCAAGGTCCATTACCCACAGTTTCTCTAGCAGAGTTCCTGAGTGAACAGGAAATTACATGTGTGGTCCTCTCTTACTGGTCCACTTGAAGTGTATTTGTGAAGATTTCTCACCAAAATACAACTAATGCAATACAACTAACTCAAGTACAGGTTGCATATTAAAAATGAGCATGGGCTCCATTTTCTGAAAAGTAAAGCCAAAACAGAAGTGCCTCCTCAGGCTTCTGAAAGAGGTTCAATGAGGAGAGATCATTCGGAAGAACTGGACATGATTTATTGAGAAAAAGAAATAAATTAACACATTTAGTGATCAGACTCTGATGATCCATCATGGAAGAACAGAATCCCAGTGGTGATAGGATTTAGGACAGGACTCTTCCGAGTCTAGACACTGGTGGTGGTGAAGATGAAGCTGGAAGCTGAAGATTGATGTAGCTCTGACCAACTCGGATGAGGCGGAGACGGGGAGGAGGCAGGCAGTGATGTCAGTACTGGGAAAGTGAAAGTGATGTAAAGAACAGACTAGCTGAACACCCAGGAAAGCAGAATAGATAATGTCCATGAGAAAAGCAGAGCCCCAGGCAGGGGGGTCAAATACAAGGCCTGGGAGCCAGAATGCTGCCCCCAGTTTAGCAAAGACTCTAATCCAGTCCCCTGGACAGCTTCAGAAAATGTGAAGGAGTGCATAGTTTTCAGAAATGTAACTGTATTTGTATAAGTTTTCCAACGTTTCCAATTGATAAAGACTGCCCCTCACTACCCCCCCCCCCCCCCCCCCACACACAGCCATTCATACTACACTAAAGTAATTAACTATTAGATAAACAATTACATGAGAGAAAAGTTCCTGTTTTTCCAATGTCAGCTAAAGAAATAACAAGATAATGTTCTCTTTTTTGACGAAGGATGGCAGGGTGTAATTCACGGTAGGCCAAGCTTGTTACTAACATGAGGTTTCACTGTCAGATCAACCCCCAACTCATCAGTTCTGCTTTCAAGACATCAAGATACCGACAATAAAACACTCAGCTTGAGGCTGAGTGTTTTATTGTTTTATTGTGTGCTCCTTGTCACCAAACATGTGGCTACCGCCATCTTTTTACATTCAGTCTTAGAATAGGCCTGCAAAAAAGCAAAACCGTACCTGATTTAAATTTAAAATCTCCTTCAAGCTAGTCTCCCAACTTAGCTTCACAGACCACTTAATCACAGCTCGTGGGGACTGAACTGCATTTTGCCATCTGGTGTGACAAACAAAAACATTTTATAAACAGAAATAATTGCAAACAATTTAGTGTTGGTTTGTACTTCTTGACAGTTTGCAGCCATGCATGGGTTATAAATGTGCTTGTGTGCATTCATGCTGGGGCATCCTAGGGTATTTAAAAGTAGAACTTGAGGCAGAGACTTGCCCCCCCTCATTGGAGCCAGCTCCCAGTTTGGATTTGGGAGACAGACACCCTCTCTACTTTTAAGATTAAGCTCTAAGCTTTTCTTCTTTTAATTTTTAATATTTTTTATTTATAAAGCTTATAGATCAGACTGGCTAAGGTGATCCTCAATGTCTTAGTTACACTAAAATAGGTGTAGGCTGCTGGAGACTTCCTGTGATTCACTGAGTGTTTTTCTTCAGTCTCTATGTGTTTATACACCAGTTTGCATTTAATCACTAGTTATTATTAATTTTAAAAAATGTTATTTCACATGTATAAAGGTAGGTAAATCTCACTGAGGCAAGAGGTCTCATATTTTAATAAATTTATTGTTGTTCTTTTCCACAGTATGATCGGTTTCCTGAGCCTGGATCTGCTGCAGGTTTCTTGCTGTTAAAAGGGAGTTTTTCCTGTCACCAAGTGCTTTTTCATAGGGGGTCATCTGATGGTTAGGCTTTTCTCTGTTTTATTGTGAGGTCTTTACCTTAAAATTTAAAGTGCGTTGAGGTAACTTTTGTTGTGATTCAAAATAAATAAAACATAACTGAACTGGATTATGCTGAGTAAGAAGAAATTCTTCTGTGACCACTAGACAGGACAGACTAACAAACACAATCAGGAGCTTTTATCCAGTGTTTCAGCTGAGTTCGTCACACAATGATTGGATCACCACCAGCAACCCCCACACCACAGCTGTCCCTCTCCAACAGCCAATCAGAAGTCTTGTCATTGTGTACAAACAAAAAAGTTTTGCGCCCTGCAGCCTTTAAATCAACCTGCAGTCAAGTATCGAGCAGAGCAGAGTGCACCACCACTATCTCCACCAAAAACTTAACCATTTGAAGGATGGAGCCCACCAGGCGCAGGGAGTCTGTTTGCAGGAGCTTGTTTGGCCCGGTGGACCACAGCCAGCTGCGCCGGGACTTGAAGCTGAAGCTTAAGGAGATCATTGAGCAGGACAGGCGGCGCTGGAATTTTAACTTCGAGTGTGAAACCCCGCTGCCCGGCCGGTTTCAGTGGGAGGAAGCCGCACGGCCGAAGGACGCTGCCCACCGTTCAGGTGGGGACAGGCCGAGCGACGGCGAAGACGGCGCAGGGACCGACCAGGAGAACTGCTCCAACATCACCAACAAGCGCAAGAGTCCCACTGAAGGCTCTCCAAACCGGCAGCCAGTCTCAAAGACAATGCACGGATCACAGGTACAGGAAAATGAGTCCCGTTGGCTTTTGTTTGTTGGCTTATCGACAAATGTAATGCCAAGATATTGACCAATCTCGCGCTCCGATTTTCAGATTATTTCGCAAAGAGAAGGAGGACAACAACAAGAGCCAAGAGCATCCCGAATCATTTTCACGTCGGTTCTAATGAAGCAGCTCTGCGCAAGACTTTAAGATGAACATGCAGCTGAAAATGACTATTTGTTTTCATGGACTTGATCCCCACAACAAATTATTTTATTTTATTTTATTGTATGTTGGTGGATTTTATTTATTCTTTTTTTTTCTTTAGCAGTTTTTTTTTTTTTTTTTTTAGATTGCATCTCTTATTAGAATATTTATTCTATTTATGGATGTTATGAATGTTCTTCACTGGCATTTAAAAAAATCTGTTATACACTCGTGCTGCTAATCTAACTTGTTCTAAAAAAAGCACTATTTTGTTAGGTCATTATTGTTATATAAAATGAATATGTAGCACATTTCTGTGCATATTACAGTTTTAATAAACTGTGATTATTGATCATTACATTTTATGCCTGTTGACTTTTTTTTAACACCAGGAAACTTTTCGTGTAAAGTAACAAATTTGTGATAGTTTCATTTTCATCTCCTATATCAAACCTTTTTAATGTGAATTTTATCTCTAAAAACTCTTTCTTTGATAAAATCAGACATAGCCATTCAGAAGCTCATGCATGATTGCCAGTCAATACTTTACAGATCTATACTTGTCTAAGACATACATTGAGAACTGCAGCACATCAATAATACACAATGTAAAAACTACAGATTGGTAATATCCAAAACAATGTCCACCACATTTTGCACTGTGACAGTTTGCTGACACTGAATAGAGCTTAATCTTTTTATCCTCCGGCTGTCAAACGTGTTGTCAGTCTTGTCTTTATATGCAAGACACCGAGACTGCTTTTTCTTACACTAAAATGTTCATCTATTTATAGCCGTGCCCTTTGGTGAACAGATTTCTAAATTATTGGTTTTTCAATATGACTGCAGTCTTATGAGAGAGTACATCTTTAGTGTTTTTTTGCTGTCTTTGCAGCAGACACAGATGAGTAGGTTAATAAGTCTCTCTCTTTCGCTCTCTCTCTGAAGTCATAGAAGAAAAAAAACTATTCGGGTTGTAAGTTTAGCAATTCAAAGAAGAAAATTGTTTCAGAGTAATTGCATTTTCTGGGTTCTATTATGAGATATTTCATAATCACAATTGTAAGAAATGTGCCGTCAGGCTTTAAATTATATCCATTAATATAAACTGTAATTGCCAAATTAGCCCATTAGAAAAGCCAAATCCCGCATAAGTATGTGCACTCCTGCAGTGTTGGGGTTTCAGCTCTAAAGAACTTCAAGAGGCCATCTGGCCTGAGAGCAGGATAATAGCAACAAAGCAGAGCGTGCCATCTATTTCACCTGCAAATCAGCCTTTGGCACTCCTCGACCCCCCCACCCCCAGGTCTTCCCTCGGCTTTTCTATTTTCACTTAGTCCCTGTTCATAGTCAAAGTTGCTATCATCCTTGACAAGTGCCTGAAGCAATACCACTTACGCTTATTCTTACTTTGCCTTACGATTGCTCAAATGTCACTTTCCCAAAGGCCACCTGTTCATACTTGCTACACAAGCAAGAAAAAAGAAAGACAATAACACTTTTAAAAGGCTCGGTGACGTTGCTAACTGTGTTATTTCTGAATGGGAGACAAATGATCATTCACTTTGTTCCAGTGGATTTATTTTTCAAATAAACGTGTCAAAAATAAATAGCAAACTGTCCCATGGGTCCATAGGTTCCCATAGGATAGAGGATTCCCAGGTTTCCAACTCCAGCAGTAATTACATTCCTGAAAGAGAAGCATTACAAGCATCAGTACATTATCTGTGAATTTAACTGTCACTAACAAGCCTGCAATGATTGTTTCATGCAATTCTAGAGTGATTTTGCTGAGAGAATAAGAACTGTTCCTTCATAATGACCCATAGGTTGATTAAAAAACAAACAAACAAAAAACAAAAAGCATCCTGCAAAGAGTACTGCTTTGTTTTTGGCTGATTGGGATTTCATTAAATTGTCCAAAGTAGAAGAAATTGCAGAAAAGACACGCATTAGGACTTCCACTTGTGTTTGATCACTCAACAAATACAATCTGAGGAAATTGTATCCTTTGATGCGAAGCAAACTGCTGGCAAAATTAGCATGTTAGTGTTTTATTTCTTTTTTCTTTCTGTATGAAATGTGCCTTACAAATTGCCTCACCTAAGCAGATGCTAAAGAAACATGAAAAAAAAATCAGTTCATTGTAGCTTTAGGACATAATGACTTTCTGTATTGTTTGATTGTTTATAACGCAGATTACTCCAATATCCCAAACAATCCACGCCCTCCCTGTAATGAAACTCTCCCCTCACCCTCTTCCTGATCGCCACAAAGGCCAAGCACCCTCAGCACACTTTAGGAGGGTGCAGCCCATTGTTGTCCACACCAGAGGCAGATGGTCATTTGGGCCCTTTCTCCACATGGGTACTTGTATGAAGGAATGCCTGGACACCCCACGGATGGTCAGCAGGGAAAAGGTCACCATCTGCCGCTCAAAGGTCAGCTGTCTAAAGAGCATGGTATTAGCCATGCTTTTGACTGTTTCAATAAGCTGGCGAGGACACGGCACACAGCTCCACCTCATTGTGTTAAAACATGAGTGATGCAAAATACTTGTGGAAGCAGTGACTTGAACGGTGCTCCAGACATTCAAGACAAGGACTCTTAGTTGGATTATTTGCTTTCATTTTTAGTGTGAAATACTGACTTTTTTTGTTTGCTTTTCCTTCAAAATACCTATTACAAAAGAAAAATGTCTTTCTGTAACTCAAATATTTATCTCACTGGTTTTAGTGAGAGATTGCTCGAGGCCAGCAGACTCAATACATAGACACTCAGTAATAATTAGTTCAATCTTTTATTGCTACTTAAAAGTTGTGCTAAACAACAAATAGTAACTGAAACTGTATAGTAAATAATGGCATATATTTAAGTAAAACCTATTAATGTATAAGAACAATCTCAAAGATGAATGCAGTTTAATGTATTATTTCAAAGAAGGCTTGGTAGTGATGACTTTAAGATATTTTATTTATTCCAGATTTGGGAAGTTTATTTGCATTTTTCTTTCTCAATAATTCGATCTTGCTTTGAAATTTCAGTAATCAATATAGTAATTAAAATAATATAATAATTGATTCTAAAGCAATATATGCACCTTAAGCTTTTACGGATTAAAAAACTAATGCAGATTAAAAAGTCTGTAAAAAGGTCAGCTACAATGTAAATCAGCACTTCCTAAATTTAAGACTCCCATGATCAGTTCAGAAACCTGGATGTTTTCTGTGGCTCACCCAAACCTCTCATTAGAGCTTTGGTCATAATATAAGCCAAAGGTCATGTTTTTCCTTAGTTGCAATTTAGCTCATTGCTTATGACACGTCATAGCCCCTTTCTTTCTACATACTTCCCCCCATTATTATGGATATATAAGGCAAATTCAGGATCAGAAATCAGCCAGAAAAGTAATCATATCATATCATAGCATACAAATTCACTTTCAACAACAGCCCACCTGAAGTACCATTACCATCCACTGGGGGGAAGAGAGACTACTGACATAGTCTAAAGAGCTTGGAAAGAAAAGCGTCTGGACTTCTTCAAGTTGCTTGAAGATGTTTGACCTCTCATTCGAGAAGCTTCTTCAGTTATAAGGTCAAAGGGTGGAGAGCCCCATATTTAAGTCCTAGGGGTGTGTCCCCCAAGGGGGTGAGAACCCCCTGTTGATCCTCTACCTAATCAAACGATTTACTGAAATAAATCATATGCGATTGCAGGATAATGCTTGAGAAAAAAAGTAACTCAGACTGTAACAGGATTGGCTCATAAAAACATGAACCATTGAAAGTTTTTTGCTTCACATCACACAGGCATGATTATGATTACTGCATTATTTTATTGTCAAAAGAGAAAGGAAATCTTCACATTGACAAAAAAGTGAAAAAGTGGAAAACAGTGAAAACAGCCTTTCATTTGGGATTTTCAAGTGATATATAGAAATGTAAGGCCCCTAAGAGTAATAAAGTTACTGCAAATTATTATAATTTCTACATATGCATATGCTAAACAGGAAGAATGGAGGTTGAAGTTGCAGGGTTTTTGGCATTAACCTGAATAAATGTTAAGTACAATACTCAATCCTGGCAATTACAAAGATCTAATAGCAATCCTTAAGAGATATTGCAGTGTTGAATTATTGTTTTTCTCTCACAGATGTCCATATTCCCCATGGTCTGCTGGGACATTCATCATAAATATCTTATATTATACTAAAAGAAGAAAAACTTGGTGTTTGCTTATTGGTTTCATCAGCTCTCATCCTGACTGCCAGTGGTGCTCGGGGGCGGGTTGGGGCAGACCACTGTGCTGGCGGTGTTGGAGGAGGCATACAAAGAGGGTGAAGATAGCTGGTCATAGCTTGGCAGGCTGTCCTGGCTGGGGAGGACGTTACAGGTCGGTCCGAGCCTTGACCCGCCCCCACCGTCGCCACCAGCATCCTTCTGTTCCAGCAGATATGCGAGGGACTCCACAATGCGATTCAAAGTCTGGTCCATGTGTGTTATCTGTAAGAGTTCAATCAAATATTCATTTAAGTGACAGCTATGACACCAACAGTGCCTCTTAGTAATTAAAATTAAATTAGGTTTGTTTACTTGTTAAACGAAGGAGCTACGGTTACGTTGTTCATAAAGTTTTAATTAACCCGTGTAGCACAAACAGCATCTTTAGTTTGGGCCAATTATTTTAATGATTGTAGTTTTCATGGTCAGTTATGAAACACAAACTAAAGTGATGTTTATTACAGGATTATGAGATGAAAATTCTTTAAAAGCTTTAGACGCAGTTTGATCTTTTTTTCATCCAATCACAAATAACAAAGAGAAAAAAATCACAGATGTATATAAAAACTCAGGGAGGGAATTGCACATTGTGTTCCTTTTTCTTTTCTTTTTTTTTGATGCATCTTTGAAATACATGAAAGCAAACAGTTCCTCTTTTTATGCCACAGAACTGGAACAGGCTCTTAAAGTTTTATATTTGAATCAACAAAAACGAGGCCACATGTGCACACATACATAGTGGCTCATGTTACATTACAGTAAACAAAGGCAGCTCTTGTTGCATTACCCAGAAAATTCCCAAATGCAGTTTATTTTCAAGGGTTCACTGAATTGTAAATTGTCATTGTAAACATCCTCTTGGGATAACCCTTGTGAACGGCTATAAAAGCTCAAATTATAGTGCAAGATAAATGGAGACGGAATTAAATATTTGACTTTTCTCTTGTACAAAGAAAAGAAAGAATCTCAAACTCTACAAGGCTTGTGAGTGTTACTGTATTTTTCCACTGAGGTTGCACAAATCCCACCTTGTCCTCCATCCTGTTGAGTCTGGATCCGATAGAGTTGTTGCCTTTGTCTTTGGCTCGGTCTTCAGAGGCAGACAACAGTCAAGTAAATAACAAGACAGAAGGATTAGGTCTGTGGTTTGTACCATAGCTGCTGTAATGTATTTCGAGAAGTCAGTGGAGTGATTCATTACCTGAACCTGTCTGGAACAAAGTTATCTTCCCTAAAGACTGGTCCAGTCTGGGGGAAACAATGGGAGCCTTAAGTTAGAGGAATATTTACACACTCTCTCTACTTCCCCTTTCATCTTCCTAGATCTTCTCCATTCTTTTTTTTTTTTAAATTTATCTCTTTGCCTTTGACAGTATTGTACACATATATCCATGCTGTACTCAGGGGATATAATTCACATGAAGCTCATCTTATTTAAACCATTTACCGTCTCTGAAGCTCCTTGATGCGCACCATGAGATTGAGGTGACCCTGGGAGTACTGTTCAATCACATCTCGCACATCATACGGTTTACGAGCTTGCTACAACAGAGAGTTTCAGATTGTTTAATCAAAACGTCATCTCTTTTATTACAAATGTCTTGTCAGGATCAAACCCGTACGAATGTCTTTACATGCCAGAAACTGGATATTCTTTAGAAAATTATTCTGTCAAAGAAACTTATGTAAAAAAAGAAAGGTTTTACTCATGGCATAGAAATAATAAATTAGTTAAGTCAAGTCTCGGGTGAACAACAACACATGACATGACATGTTTGTTATTATTTCTTTAACAAAAACTAAGCCAAAATTCAGGAGACAGTGTGTGAAAATCTAAGTACACACTTACTGCTTTCATAGAAACTAAAAGGGTAACATTAGTGCACTAGTCTTATTGCTCATCAGCAAGTTTGATGACTGCCCTGGAGCATTCAGCAGTGTGTTAATACGAAGCCAGCGAGGAAAGACCATTGCAACGATCTTATCTTAGATAAGTAATTGTTGCTGCTCATTAATCTGGGAAGTGTTACAAGGCCACTTTAAAACAATTTTAAGTCCATCGTTCCACAGGGAGAAAGATTATTCACACATGGACAACATACAAAATAATTTCTAGAGTTACTATGAATGGACATGTCAGCAAATTCACTCCAAGGTCAGGCTGTGCAATGCTCAGAGAAATTGCAGAGAAAAAAAGGGGCCTTAAGAGAGCTGTGCATGAATGAATGCCTGCAAATGTTGTAAAGACGTAAAAAATGCTGTAAAGTTCCCCCACAATGACATGAGAGACTGATAAGTCATGTAGAAAACAATTACTTCAAGTTATTGCTGCTGAAGGTGGTTCTACAGCGTACTGAATCATGAGGTATACTTAGTTTCTCATCCACGGCTTCTTCTTTGGCTTGGTTCTTTGTTAAATAAATAATCATAAAGTTTGGTATGTCACACTTTCCCCCCCTGAAGTTATATTCGAATCATTTAAAGATCTGGTAAGGCCCAGACGATTTTTTTTAAAATTATGCCCCAAAATGTAAAAGTTTAGAACAGAAAGAGAGTGCTCCTTCTCTTCCACAGATGTTTGGTGAGGTTTAGAAACCAGATATAAAGTAAATCCTGTATACACAGTAATTTTTATTAATTTAATATCATGGAAATGTTATTGTGACTGACTGATAAAGAACAAAGCCTGTACAAAAACAAAAAACAAACAAACCACTGAACAGAGGTTAGCTGGACATAAAGTGAAGTGGAATTAATTTTTTTTATACTTGAAAGCAAAGCAAAAATGCCATAGCTGCCACATTAACTTACAACCGAAACAGAATAAAAAAAATCCTGAGATTGTCTCTTCAGTTTTTGTTCATTAGAAACAATCCAATACAAGCTTTTTCTTGTGGCACAGCTAGCGTTTCATGGCTTGAGCTTTTGATTAGAATTAGAGAAGTCATAAAAGCGTTACTAACATCATCTAAAAGAAAAAAAAACATACAGTATAGGACTCATATCCAGATGTACTCATCTTTTTTCCACATCCAATTCAAAAACCTATTACTATAATGATGCTGCTGATCTGCAAACTCAGCTGAACCACTGCTCATTTGCAAACTCAGCTGAACCACTGCTTGCTGTGACCCTGGAGCAAAGTGTATTATTGTTGCTCCCCAATCTCTTTTGTTGTGTTTGATGTTTGCACAGTGACAGTGTGACAGTAAATAACAGTACAGTACTTAGTTAATAACTACTGAAATGTTAGAAATGAATAAATACTGCTTAGTGAAACCAAGCTGTTAGCAGGTGTTCAGAGTATGCAGATAGGTTACGCAATTTTAAGTAGAGCACATAAACATCAATTATTTCCCAATGTGTGAATATTATTCTTTTTTGCTATTAAAAAAAATTGTAATAATTACCTGGAAATTTCTCTTGGCCACAAAATAACGCATTCTCTGGATCACCCGGATGGCTTTTCGGTGAGACTCTGTGAGTCTGTGAAAAACACATTTGCATCAAGGTTGGTCGACTTCAACCTGTTACACTTGTTTACACCCCTTCTTTCACTGAATTGAATGAACGTGGCAGACATTAACCTTCATACCTGAACTCTTATCAGTATAGGCAAAAATATTAAGTTTCATTATTACTGCTCCATCTACATCAAAAGCCTCTCCTCTATTACTTGTCTTCCTTTGAATGTGATGAAGGTGAGTTACAGAAAGAACAAAGGCGGGTAATTTTCAAGGTCTGCACATTTCTCGAAAAATCATTAGCACAAAGCTTAGAGTGATTGTCGGGCATTTAGCCTCCATTATTATGTTGTGGGAATTATTAAATAGGTATTACTTAACAGGCTCATTACCCTGGAAAAGCAGTGAGCGAGTATGTGAGGTGGGAGCGCAGCGAGTTCTTTGTTAAGTCCGGTGTATAACAAGGTAGGTGAGAGTCTCATAATGGACTTTTCAGAGGCAATGCAATGGGCTGATTTTCACATACAGCTTTCATAACATTTTGTCAAATTAGCACTATGAAACGTCAATAATGTGTTCCTGAACTATTATAGAATCCATTTTACATCATAAAAGGATTATGTGGTAGTGATATAAGCAGAAGCCAGGCAGTGAGACAAATTTCTTTTAGCTCTAATGGCAAATTGTGACTTCTTCAGAAAAAAAGGAAGCATTTGAATATCAAAGATGTTTCTTTAATATTTTCATCTACCATCAATGAACACTGTGATGTGAACATCCTAGGGATCTGTAAGGTTATAATCCTTAAAGAAATTGTTAAATATTTTGGAAATGGAGCTTATTAAACTTAAAAAGAGGAGATCTAAGACTGGAATTAAGAGACAGTTTGTTTTACGTAGCACAAAGAATAAAAAGAGGAGCTTAGCCTTGCTCTATCTAAAGCATCCAAGTCTACCTATTAGCAAGCTTAGTAATTAACTCTGTACAGATTTAAAGGGGATTATGTGCTGGACTACGTATTCTAGGCTTCCTCAGTAGAAACCAAAGTCACTATGATCATTTTATGTTCAACAGAGATCTTAACGAATAGTCAGCTACATTAGTGGTTCGAGACAAACATGACGCTTAACGCACCCAAAGGAAAAAGATTTTTTAAATCCTGTTTGGGGAAAGTCAGCAAACATTTTTTTCATTTCTTTTATCAGATTTAATGGGTGATTTTATAAATGCAGTTTTTAATGTCCTGGTGACATTAGATATTCAGTGCTTCAAAATAAGTACCTGATGTGTTGAGAAGTGAGATTCTACAGGGCTTGAAGGAAGTGAGTAAGCATATTTTTCACTCTCATTTTTTTGTAGTAACAGCCATCAGTGAACTTTATTAATGTTGATCATTATCATGGTCTGAGTACATCAATCATTTAGTCTGCATATATATGTGTGTTGCAGATGCAAAAGTTTTGATCTTTACTCCACTGGAGTCACCAGGCAACATGTTGGGCAGTTTTTTAAGTCAACATCAGAATTCAAATCCACCAGCTGACTGGAGTGTTTCTGTGTGGCGTTTGCATGCTCTCCTCATGCATGTGTAGGTTCTTTCTGAGTACATCACATCTCTCAAAGACGTGTGGTTTAGGTTGATTGGAATTTCTAAATTCCCTATTAGCCATGATTGTGAGAATGAATGATTGTCTGTCTCTCTCTGCGGCAGCCCTGTAGATGGACTGGTGACCTGTCCAGAGTGTACTCTGCCTTTTGCCCTATGATAGCTGGGATAGGCTCCAATCCCACCTGCAACCCTAAATTTGATAAGTGGAATGAAATCCCACGGATTAAAGCCTTAGCAAGATTAGAAGGATGTCTTTGGAGCCGTTAGGGGATACTTGATTGTGCTATTTAATATATACAGTGCTATTTAAATAGCACCTAAATGTGCTATTTAATGCAGTAAAGGCATTTTGATTACTATTAGTGCCATATATTCTTTTAGAATGGTCTACTGAGCAGTGTTTTGTCTTCCATCGGATGCCTCTGAGGAATCAAAAGAACTCGGTAAAGTGTTGATATGAATAATTCATTATTATTAGCTGTCATGCTTTGACAGTTCAAAAAGTTACTCTTACGATCAGTATTGTACCAATGGTTTTATTATCACTATGAGTTATGAGGAGACTTTTCAAATAGGGGCAAACATCCATAAAATTTTTTAAGGTGACATGGATTCTGACTGACTGTGTCTCTACATTGAGAATAATTGATAATATAACATATAAGTAAATACAGGTGGGTTACATGCAATAATACATGCAATTCTTTAACTTTGGAAAAACTCATTTTGCTGCTGTCTGCTTCTGCGAGGTATGTAATGAACTCAGAGAGAAGACTTCCAAAAACAGCTGAAATCTACACTTTGTGTATCTTCAAACCCCTGCCTTATATTTATTAGTAGTAGTGATCAATAATGTAGCCCACAGAGTCTGTCTTCATCATAGAAATTTGTGCTTTAAAAAATATGAAACCCAAGCAAATAATGGTTGTTGAACATTCCTCGAGTGCTTTTTGTGGCTTTTTTGAAAGGTCTAAAGGCACATGAACTCCGCTTTTTGTACTGTCGACATTTTTATGCTGAAATGTCGAAAATGACTGATATTAAAACGTTGTTTTTTTTTTTATTCCAATCCATTCTTTATTTGCAGCATTTAAATAACCTTTATCTGATTTGATGGTTTTGTTACAGACTTTAAAAAAGTGGTTTTTCTTTTCTTTTACAAATGTGGGGATTCAATTGTGTTAAAATGTACAAAACAGTGATGTCATGTTTTGTGACGAGGACCCAGGCACAGAGAGACTTGATGAATTTAAGAATCTTATGATTTAATAAAGAAATTTGCAGACTTGCACAGAGATGGTAAAATTATGATGACTGATAACGGAAACAAAGACAACAGAGGACGAGGACAGGGAGGAACAGGGGTTAAATGCACCAAGGAGACAGTCAGAGAGGACTCAGGACAACTGGAGACATTTAAGGATGCAGGGACTGACAGAGACAGGGAAGAAGTCTCATCGTGACGAGTACAGTTTATCTTGCTTGGCTGGGCAGCTCTCTGGGTGCTCAGCACCCCCAAAGCTCTGATCCTAGAATCGCCCCTGTTCCAAATGCTTCATGTGATTGGTATAAACAAAAATGCAATGTGAAAAAGATTTTCAAAAAAGTTTCTATTGAGCTTTACATTTTTGCCTCACACACTTTTTTTCTTTTATTATGACTTTAAAAGCTCCGTCTTCTGGGTAACTGGGTGTGTAATTTTCGTTTGTTTGGGACAAATGTTTGGCAGTTTTGTTGAAAGTCTCAGTACCTCGATTATTATCAATTTGCCAAAACATAGCACTGCAAAGTCAGAACTGGCAGCTGCAGAAATATGACTCCTGGGAAGTATTCCATAGCGAGAATCTATACACCACGATTTGTACCAATGACTAAACTGAGCTATTCTCCGGTCTTATAAATAAAATAAAACTGACAAATTGGTGTTAAATATGTAACAAAGCGTGTAATCAAAGACAAACCTGGTGAAGAGAAACACATTCTTCAAGGGTTTTTTTTCTCTCATATTTTTGGTGTTGTCTCGTCATGGATAACACAAAGAGTAGTATCTTATAATGGCACAATGCAGCATGGGATTTGATGTGGCGCTGCTCTATGAGAACAGCTGGTTACGTATTTTGAAGTCAGCAGAGCACAGAGTGATCTTTGCCAACAACGCTGCTGCATGCATTTCCCACTCTGCATCATTACTCCTCCGTTTAGAAAGAAGTCCCACGGGTCAAAACTGTCGCTCCATTTGTTTCACTTACTGTGCACTCACATTGCACTGCAGTTACTTAACACTCATTTCCTCATATCACTCTCAGTCTCTAGCTGTGCAAGTGCCTCGGCAAATGCAAGTGATTTTTTTTTCCTGATACACACTCATTACACAGTAGAGACACGAGCCCTCTGGGGTTTGGCATATTTCAAAGGTTAATTACAAATAGCGGGAAAAAAACAACAACCCTAAAACAAAATGCATAAAAACCTTCCCTGTCATGGTCATTAAAACGAACGTACACATAAACACAGAATCCTATGGTGGTAAACTCACTGTGACACTGAGGAGGCTGGGGCCAGTTCATTCTCTCTCTCTGGCTCCAGCTCCATGTCGTCTGCAAAGCTGCAGTTCCTCTGGAGCGCGCTGGGCGAGTGGACTTTTAAAAGGCCAGGGCTTCTTTTCACTGCACGTTCACCCACAGACACCCAGAAACACACTCATTAGACTTTAGCTATTAATATGTGTCTGCAGTGACACTGCAGATAAAGTTTCGCTGTGTACATCCTGTTCAAACAGGTTTTGCGATTTACACTTACTTACACATTTAAATGTATTCTAATTTCTCTTAATGCACTAATGTTGTGTATGCTGATATAACCAACAACAAAAATATGCCCATATGTTGCATTAAAAGTAACATTATCTGAAGACAGTGGAAAGGGGGGAAAAAGACATTCCTATGGTAGCTTTCAGAATCGCTAGTGATTTAGTGAGGGCTTGTGAACTGTGGGAAAATTAGGCCTCATGTGACCTGGGATCTTGACTCTCCAGAGCTCTGTTTAGGATTATAAAAGTGCTGTATTTAGATGGGAAAAGAGATCTGAATTTACAGCTACAGTCATCTTGCAAAAACAGGGAAGAGAGGAAACAACTCCGTTTGGATAGACACAGATGGGTTTTTTTTTTTTTTATGTAGATGTTCTCAAATGCAACATGCCAGCAGGGTGGCACTTTCTGTTCTTTGCCACATAAACTTGGATAAAGAGACTTTTTTGTGTCTTTTAAAATGGTAAAATTTAATTTAAAAAAAATGAAAGACAAAATGTAACCCCTCAATTATCCAAATCTGCCGCTGGAGTGTTTTGAAACTGCACCATTAAGAGACGTATGACACAACAGGTTCATGATTTTGATGTGTGAAATAAAAAAAAATAAAAAAAAGGTGTTAAATGGCACTGCTTGAAATGCACTGTAAATCAAATGATCTTAAGTGGTGTTGTCATCTGGTGACAAGACTTGCCCTGACCAGCACACTGATATTTCTCAATAACAGAATGCAGGAAAATGTTTTAACTCCCTGCTGGGCAGCTTTTTAGATGAAATGCCAAACATTACTTTGCATATCATCTAAACACATCAGACCTTTAGTCCTCTTGGCAACAACACTTCAAACTGTATGTAACATCACACATGATGAAACCAAAACTTGTTGCAACTAAAACTGAAAAATGAAGCCAGCACCCCAGTGCCAAAAATCTGCAGTTCCTGGAATGACCACTTGAAGTCGATTTCAAAAGTTCTTAATAGACATCCATGTTCAAATTTCTAACTTTACAACAGAAATATGCATTTTTTTCTTCTGGGAAAAGGCTTCAATCTCTACAGAGGATTCTCAAATGACATCATATGCACACCGTTGGCCTCCTCCATCATAAGGGAACCACAAGGGAAAAATGTGTAATCCAGTTGATGAGTGGTTCCTGGAAGCTGCTTTCATGCCACTGGGTGAAGTTGGTCATAAAGAAGGTGCTGCACCAAAAACCTCCTTGGTGTGGTTGAAGATTGCTGCAGCTTTTACATCAAAGATACTAATTTTTTCTATAAACCTTCGCTTTTATAAGAAAACTTATAAAAGTGCAACACAAACTCGACACAAACTGGAAATTTCCCTTCAAAGTAAGAGTTGTGCCTCACTTGTGTCACACTTTTATAGTTTCATCCCCATTTGAAGAGTAGTTGGCAAATGTTTGCAGTCTCAGACAACTTGCCATGTTTCCTACGAACTGTGGGCAACTGGAGTTAGGAACCAAAGCAATCACATACAGGCATCTTCTTTGCGACCTAGCAACAGCTAGGAACCTCCAAGATCTATTTGGTAATACATATTTTTCCCTTGCCAGATTATTGTGCACCGTCTCTAGGGCATCGTGACTGAGGTCTTGCTGAATTGATTATACATAGTCACACATCAAAAATGGTGGACCACTTAAGATCACGTGGTTAGCAGTTGTAGGACCACAAAACCTCACTAGCTAATTTTCCTTCTTATGACATTTGTAGAGGGGTTTAAATTGTTAAGGCATTAGCATTATTTGCATTATTAGGGGCCTGGACACTTTGAGAGACAGGAAGGTGCCATGAATCGACTGTTCTGTAGGCTGTGTATTTTCTCAGGTGTCCATTTTGTGCACAACCTTTTTTTTTGGTGGTCATAATTAACATCAATCTAACAAGAAAGCAGCAGTAAAGATGGCGAAGGTCAGAATACTAAACTCAAGGCTCCAAAACAATAATCCACAACCTCATGAGTGCCATCTCTTTGGCCATGTGCACTTTTTATATGAACGCCAGACTGTATCTTCAAGGCAAACAAAGTAACATAAAAACAACATTAAGCTCTGAAGTTACCTGGAGGTGGTGAGCTGAACTGAAGAGAGGACAAAGATGTCCAGGACTGCTGGCGATCTGAAGAATACATGATGGAAAACACAAGCATAAATTATTAACTTTAATTATCCTGAAAAATGAATGTGGCACTTGGAATCCTTTTTCATAGTCATTAGTCATTAAGAAAACAACACAACATTTCATTACCTCATGGGTGCCTGACTAAGAAAGCATGCTGTTATAAAACTTGACAATGACAAAAAGTGACTTGATGGGCTGTTAAAAACAAGCATTAGGAGAGGATAGCGAGTGCGCAGAGGACGTGACCAGGATGTGGACACTAACATGCAGCTCACCACATCCTCCCAGAGTGTAGAGTCCTGCTAAATCAGGCATAAACACAAAGAGAAAAAAGACACAAGCAAGGAAGTAGGCAGTTAAGTTGAATGGAAGAAGCACAATGAGAATTAAAAAGAGGCAGAAAGACTTAAAATGTAAAAAGAAATACCACATCTGCAATACACCTGATAGTTCCGTTTATTATGAACTGAAAAACACTGATGGAAAATTACTTTCCTTCAGTTTTTCCACTCTTGCAATCAAAATTATAATGACTTGTATCTATTTTATGTAACCACATACCCAGTGAACAGAATTATGAGGAATAAATGCCCACACAGCAGAGATAACCAACAAGGTTAACGCAGGGATGAAATTGTTCAATGCAGAAGACAGGATACGCTTTTAGTGTAAGCTGACAACTCTGTAAGGAGCTAAGCACTTGAGCCAGCATCAGTGCCTGCATCCCCTCACCCCAAGCATACAACAGATGGCAATGTAGCAACTTAGTAAAAAATGGACGTGTTAAAAGCACCATGCTGTAAATGTAAGATGTGCAGTAGACCTGTAGCATCAGAGATCGTGAAGTGCACAGACATGCATAGAACCGTACAATGGTGCAAATTAAATTCTGCCCTTGTACTGAGAAGTGAGTGCAAAGCAAAACCATTGGCACTGTTGTGTTGGTGGTGCTGCAGTCACCCATGTAAGCAGCTTTTCACTTTACCAGATTGTGTTAAAGAAAGAGGTTATATAATGAGGGCCTGAAAAGAGTAGCATCCAATTAGATGTTTATATATTATGGATGTGCTAAAACTATCCATATTTATCTTCTTGAAAAAGTAAACAGATGATCCTCTCCTGTGTCTTGGTTGGTCAGTCTAGTAGATCAGGCTATCCATTAATGTCCTTCATACAGCAGTGAGAGGAGTAATAATGATGATCTTTTGAAAAGGTATAAAATAGGCTACTCGGTGAGCAGAACAACATTAGGGAATACACTCTGAGAGAAATGAATGAACATGGAAAATGAACTGACAGGGGAAAAAAAATGAAAGAGGCATTTTCAAGGATGATATTGAATTAGTCAGTATATGTTACTTCAGCAAAAGTTCCACAGCTTGTTTTTTGATGAGAACAGCTCAAATATTCTCAGCCCCAAAAGGCTGCAGCCCCCACTCTCCATGACAGGATGTTGTAAACCAGGAAGTTAGAAAGTGGGGCATATGATATTTTGGAAAAGTAACTCACATTCTGATTTGTTTGTATGTAGGCTTTAAAAGGCCACATAGTCCCTTGAATGAGAAAATCTGTGACTACACTGACCACAAGAATGGGAGCGTTAACATTAAAGGGTTTAAGGTGACTGCTGATTGCTAAAGTTGGCCACAATCTAATTGCATATTAAATTGTGTCTGTGCAATGCTATGCAGTGTGCATGCTCCACATGCTCCACAATACATTTAGTTCAATTTGACTAATGTTAGATGTGTTGAGTAGTTTCAAATGGCTCTTAAATACTAATGCAAGGACAGTGTTTCATTGTACTGTCTAGCTCGTGATTCAGGCTGTTTTCAGGAACATTTCTATCATTTATACATTAAAGTAAAATAATGTAAAAAAGTCATTCAGTGTCAGTGAAAAGGAAAAGGGAAAACTTTGACCTGCTGGTGGCACTACTCCTGAGCTATTAGAAAAGGTTTGATTTGAAGTATTTAAAGTGAACTCATCAAAGTAGTTGGAGTACACAACATAATCTTAAGTGACACTGACAGGATGCAGTATTGATTTGAATACCTTCTTTATTTGACTCCTAGTTCTTCATCATTGAATCAGCAGCACTGTTTGTTGTGCAGATTTTTACAAGTTCAGCAGAGGACCCTTGCAGTTCATACTCATCAATGCAACCTCACGTTATATTCCTGCAATGCGCTCATCTATTTTTAATGTTTGGACTTTGTCCTCTTCACCTGCTGTGGACAGCCTTATATCTGCAGTTTAAATTCAACATTCTCTATTTTCTGTATCATGAAAGAATTTTTGGTTGGACACCTGAGCAGCGCTAATGAAATCTTTACTCATTAAGTGATGCTGTGAGTATTGATTCTGATTTGAAGGAAAGAACAGGCACCACTCCATATATCTACACACTTGCAACAAACATCAGTCTGTTTTCTTCTAGAAACTGTTCTTCACTCTTTCAATAGGTTTTGGTACCTGTGCCAACAGTGCTGTAAACATCTGAACTCATCTCCCTCCCGCTGTCAAACACAGAGTCGAAGGTGATGCTCGGAACTGTGGGGGAAGTTGGACCATTATCCTTGTCACTGCTCTTCAACTTCTTCCTCAACTTCACCTGTTCGAGAAAATGCAAACAGCTCAATGAAGTGTTTGGCTGCAACTTGAGTGACACAAAAAGGTAACCGTGTTCACCATGTGGGAAAAACATTTGGAGTTACATTTTGATTTTGCAGCCAAAGTCTCAACTGTCAAACGGAATTAGATTTAGCAGCCAACAAACCTTCGTAAACATAAAGGCATATCAGTCGCCAAATTACGTGATGTAATGATCTTCATAATCTGCCTACCTTTCTCTACCGCCACTCTCTGTTTTAAAAAGTGTGGAGCTGTCAAGCATTTAAATAATTTATCATTTCTGTTGATGATAATTACATGGAAATACAGTAGGAGGATCAGAGTCTAAAAAGAGGGCCAAAATAAACACTGTTACTGACTGCACATAAGCAACATTTAAAAACAGATGCATTAGTAGATGTATGGTTGGTTGCAAAGATGCTGAATAATCAATATCATTATTAAATTGCCTCTGGCTGTCTTACTTGCTGACTTTTTTCCCCTTGTCAGGCGTTTCTTGTTTGTTTTTATGTGTATCTTTTCAAAATCTGATATCCAGTCTTGTGATTCTGTTATGCTACAGTAATGGATGATTTTCTTAAATCTAACTAGTTGATTAAGCCTGTCTGATAGTAGAGAGTGAGTGAGGGGGTTGAAACCCAATCTGACATTAATTTATGAAATTATTTACAATAATTCTGTTTATTTGTTTCTATTATTTTTTTCTATTATTACTATTATTTGTTAGCCATTACTAGTCGGAAAAGACTGACCTCTCTCATAAGAACTATGGTGTTTCCAGTATTTTTGCATCGATATCAGATATCAGATTTGCATCATTGAGTGCAGTCTAAACATCAGAAACAAGTTGCAGTATAAAGCAACACAATGCAGCACAGCAGACTACAGCCTTGACAATAGCACATAATAACTGAAAAACAAAAACAGCCTACATAAACCTTCATGGAAACCTTTGTAAATTTAGGATTTACAGTATTGCAGGGGTGTTGCTTCAGACTACATTAGTTGCACTTTGCCTGTGTCTAATAAACGGGAAACCGGGTGTATGAAGCAGTTACAGAGAAATCTATAAAATGATTACTAACCGATTTCTTGGGCTTGGGGGTGGATAGAGAAGAGGCAGGGATGTTTGATCTTTTTCTCAAAAACATCTTGAATGTGGCAGAATCAAAGTTCTCCACCGCAAAACATCTCCACGATGTCTGGAGGGGCATAAAAATAGCAATACGTTGGTTGGACAGGACAAATTTCATGCCAACATGTCTGCCATATAAGAAAAGAAAGAAAAGGTTACATGAAAGGATGGTCTCCATAATAAGACTGTAGCTCTGAGACAGCATAATCCCCCGGCTGTACTGAGCTACTGTTGGGAGTATTTTCTTGGTCAAATACCTGAATGAGACAGGCAGCTGCAGGGATCTGTCGGTTGAAGTGTTTTTGTCTTTGCTTCTGCTGCACCTTCAGGGCGAAGCCTGAGCCCAAGATTCCCTGTGAAGAACAGCATAGCAGAGTTTTTTCTCATTATTCAGTTTTAACCACACACTTTCAGGCAGCTGCACGATCCGAAAGATAGAGAAAGAAGGAAGAAACAAAGAGAGATCCTTCATGATTCTATTCGGTTGAGAATAATTTATTTTTTCCCATTAACCTTCATAAACACGGAATTAGCAGATTTAAATGGGGAGATTAAGCGTTTTTATTTCTTGAACTAAACGTAAATAATTGGGGCTCTAAGTATTTGAGACATTTCATAAACCTTATTATGAATATTGAACCAAGGGTAATATAAAAAGTGATGAGGAAAACTATACTTGTCTAATCCAATTTTTCACCCAGTTTTACTGGGTTCACTGACTTACTATGTTTCTCAGCAAAGTCACTGCTGTTCTGTAATCCTCACGGCACAACTCAATGATATGGTTAGATGGAAATTTCTCACTGCACTTACTGCAGGCAGGGCAAAGAATGAAATGGCAAAGACTGAGAAACAGGAAGCAATAGTCTTTCCAATCCAGGTTTGTGGCACTTTGTCTCCATAGCCAATAGTTGTCACTGTGACCTAAAGGGAAAAAAAACACAGACAAGATAATGACGACAGTAGCATTTTATAATTAGCGTTCATCAAAATATACAGCTAGGGTATGTGTTTTTAATAAACCAAAGTATAGGACAGCTTAAATAATTACCTGAGGCACTAGATGAAAAGTTAAATGGGAACTACACACCTTCGGAGCGGGAGTCACAAGTTCAATTCCCACCCAGCATCCAGTAAGGGTCCTGGCTAGACCCCACATGCTAAAAACCAAGCCCTGGAATGGCGCGGCTATGTCTGCAGCCTGTCCGCAGCTCGGACACAAGAATTTCACTACATGTTGTACTCTGTATAATTGTGTATGTGACAAATAAAGGTTGTTTGTTTGTTTTTGTTTGTTTGTATCACAAACTGCTTTGTGCTATGTTCTGTATTTATATTGGACACACAGCTGGATTTTGGGGTTCATATATTTTGCCATTACTACATATCATCATCACTGGTTGAAAAATCTGGGGATCATCAAAGTCAGTAGTACATCCGTGGTCCCTGCAGATAGGCTAGAGCAGTTGCTGATACCACACTCTTGAGTATCTGCTGACTCAAATACCAATTTGATACCGTCTTTTCCTCGCTCTTCAGTAACTAGGCTGCTAATAATACTTTTTTTGGAAACACAGCTGAGCTCCAGATGTCTCTTGTGAAACTGCAATGCTCATATTCCAGTCATTTCAGTGGATAGTATTATAACTTGTATGCACTTTCTGGAGACTTATTATCACTGCATCCCTAATTCTAACCACTACCCTATCATTAAAGGGGACCTATTATGCTTTTCCTTATTTTCTATCACATATATACATAGTGTTATCAAGGCTGGAGTGCTAATATTTAACACTGCTAAAGTTTTAAAGAACAATGTGTAAAGTAACCCTAAAAAGCTTAGGCTACAAACTGCTATAAACACTCTAAACACTACCAATTAGAGTGGATAGCTCAGGCACACAGGCACCAGGGCAACACTTTCTAATCTAATCTAATAAATTCTAATCTTTCTAATCGACCGAGTTACTCATTGCACATCTATTTCCATGCATGTGCTCAGAGCTTACTTTAGCATTAGCATTAGCATTAACTTGATAGTTTGGGCTAATGACTTGGTACTGACAGGGGTTATTAGATTTGTACAGAAAATCATTAAAGTATCCAACACTGACTTGATCCAAAAACAGTAGTAGTCGTTTTAGAGTACAGACATTTTGCTAGTGTGGTTGCAAAAAAACAGTGAAAGTACTGCTAGCAAACAGTTTAAAAACTGTATCATCACATCCACAGCTGAACCCACAATTATCTATTGACTTTACTTGACCAAATACTTTCTCTGCTTTGAGTCTTTAGTGCATTAGACCCTTGATTTCCCAATCCTCCAACTACAACTCTGATCTTTTCACCTCTTGGACTCTTAATAACATCTTCATGTGCTGAAATACCCCAAACTGACTCTCAGCGTGTGTGACAGCAGACCCAAATCAGATTAAAAAAAAAATAAATCATGGGATCTAATGTGTACAACAACAACTTTCATTTCATACTGAGACAAGTTATTGACTTTGCTGTGTATGTGTGAGAATGTGTGTGTGCGTGCATTTTTTAATATCAGAGTCCCTGAAGTTTCCATGAGGCCGAGTGGGTGGTGACTTATTGTCTGAAAATAAATTTTCATCCCGTGTTTTCTGCACTATTTGTTTTGCTGTTTGTATTAGCAGCCCACTGGATTTGCCCAAGGGGCTTCACACAACTCCTACTGTAACATCAGTAGTACAGATAAAACAGTCTATATTTGACCTTTCACTTGGTAAAAAGCAGCTTACAACAAGTCATGGTTTTCTGCAAAATCTTATTTGTGCCGGGATAGAAATGTCAAATCTCAGAATTCAGAAGACAATCATAATTGAATTGTTTCGGATCATTTCACTTTGACAGTTATTTCTAAGGATAATTTCACTAACATTTTACACGGGTTTCTGTTCTAGTTAAAGGGCGCTGGGCAGTTGCCCAGGACCCCAGGACACCTCAGGTAAGGACAAAATATTTTGTAATTAATTTTAAACATCTAAAGCACACCTTACTTTGAACCAATACTGGTCACTGTGCTCTCAACACCAGCTAGACAGACTGTTGAAAGGCTCTCTACTGGGGCCTGACTCTTGCTGATATAACCTGCCGGCTGCTGCTTTTGCAACCGTGCAGATTATTTGCTCACACGGCTTTGTGTATCAGACATGAGTAAACACGTTCTTTACGTTCTATGCAAACATTACAATTTCATCCTCATTGGGAAAAATCATAATCCGGACAGATAATACTACATGCCCAGATATGTCCTACAGCAGGCCTTTTATGTATCTTTCAGTGACATTGTGGAGTCGAACAAATGTTCTAAAGTGCTGCTGTATTTTAGCTAATTCACAGTTTTATGAGTGTCTATCTAAGTCTTTGGCAGATCTTCTTGTATTTGGGAAATATTATGACATTATATATAATATATATTACATTATAAGGAATACTTTATGTCCTTAATCCTATTCAGTTGTAAAACAGCTAAACTGCATCACTAAATTTGACATAGGGTTGAATATTGAACAGTACGGCATATAATGGGGCAAAGTGAACCATAAAGCAAAGCAGTGACATTCTCATATTAATGACTTCTGTTATAGTTTCTCAGTATAGAACTCATAGAGATAATGTTAGAATCATATAGGGATGTGAACACTCTGGTTATGTTTTATACCACAATCCCAAACATGATTAAAACTGGGATAACTCATAACACAGATCAGCGAAAAGATACTTATTCACAGGTGAATCTGGTAGGTCTCCCCCCCCCACACACACACATGCACACACAGAGCTGGCTTGAATCAGGTCACAAGCACACTGAGTGTTTGCTTAGGGCTCCATGGACAGCAGAGGGCCCCCAAGAGCGCTTGAAATATTCCATAACATAGCTTCTCCAGTTTTTCTCCAAAAAGAAAGAAAGAAAGAAAAATGTCAGCAAATAACCTTAACATTAAGTTGATGTGCTTGCTTGTAGTGCAAATCCCTCTAGCCTGTCTGTCTTACTAACATAGCTGGACAGAGCATCTCTTGGTATGTCTGTGTGTTGCTTGTTAACCATTTCCATGGCTGGGTTCTTTGTCTTTGTGGCTGACTAAAGTGACAAGGCTTAGAAACTGCAATTCACACTTCACATGTGTTCATATGTGACCATATGGCTTCGTATGCACATTCGTGAAATGAAACATATGCTTTACAGCAGCAGCCTCTGCAAGGGCCAGTCCAGAAAATACAATGTAGGAGTATGATTGCACTCCACAAAAGCACCCTGAACTCGACAGTGATCATGTAAAAAAGGAAACTCTTTGCAAAGCCAGTGACTGACAATTACAATTGATTCAGTATTAGAATATAAATTCTCCTTAGCTGTGCATATGAAATGATAACAAAAACAACAAAACAAAAAGTCATTCGTGCAGCATTTCATTCTCATGTGTCATCTTGAGATTGTAAAGAATATACTGTGTGAAAAAAATCGTGTTTGTTTATCTCATACTTTTCTGTATAAGTATACTCAATTGTAGATGAACAGATTGAGCAAATTGTTTGCACTGTGCTGACAGGTGGGACTGTGTGGCAATCTCACACAGCGTGCATGGCTTATGGGTAAATTAGGAGGGCCCCCTTAGCAGAATTTTCCTCAGAGCCCCAGGCAAACTCTGCTCATGTTTCTGTCATTTTAGAGAACATTTCAATAACTTACTTTCATTTTCTGGAGACTTTCTTCAACCATCATAACTGCTTGCCAAATCCCAAGACTCAACAAAGAGACTATTATAATTTTCCTTTTTTTGTGTGTCATACACTATATTGCCAAAAGTATTCACTCACCCATCTAAATTATTGAATCTAGGTGTTCCAATCACTTGCACGGCCACAGGTGTATAAAATCAAGCAGCAAGACATACAGACTTCTTTTACAAACATTTGTGAGCGAGTGGGTCGCACTCAGGAGCTCAGTGATTTTCAGGATGGTACTGTAATAGTCATAGTCATGAAAATTCCTTGCTACTACAGTCAACAACAACAGCAACTGAGCCACAAAGTGGTAGGCCACGTAAAATCACAGAGCGAGGTCAGTGAACGCGCATAGTGCATAGAGGTCACCAACTTTCTGCAGGCAGTTACTACAGACCTTCTAAACTTCATGTGGACTTCGTTTAGCTCAAGAACGGAGCGTAGAGGGAGCTTCATGGAATGGGTTTCCATGGCTGAGCAGCTGCATCCATGCCTTAGTCTGAGCCTTAGCTTCTAAGTGTCGGATGCAGCGATGTAAAGCACACCACCACTGGAACCTAGAGCAGTGCAGATGTGTTCTCTGGAGTGATGAGTCTGTGCGCTTGGCTCAAGTAGGTTTTGTTTTTTAAGAGTTGGGCTCAGCCCCTTAGCTCCAACTGTTAACAAATTTGTGGGAACGGGATGGCCCCTTCCTGTTTCAACATGACTGCTCGCCAGTCTCTCTCTCTCTCCATATATATGCTTTCACAGTTCATTTTTTCAATTGACATTATCATTTCCCTTTTTGTCCCAGGAGTCCCAAAAATGTGTGTACAATGATTTATGGCCATACACTATAAGTAATACAAATGCTTACCACTCCCCACCACAGGGCATCAGCATAGTTCCCAAAACCAGTGGTGCCACTGCTGTCAACAGCATCTTTCTCTGCCAGGTAGACAAAGTACGACGAGAAGATCAGGCTCAAAAAGCCAATGTATAAGGTTGTGATCAGCTCCTGAAATACACATGCACAAAGACATTACATATTTCAAACTCGGACATGTGACCATGTTAGAGAAAATATTAAGTAATATGAGGTGTGAATTTATGTATACTTTCTGGCAAAATGCATCAGCTAGCTTACCAGTCAGCTGCCTGTAGCTCGATGTGGCTGTGTTTGCTAATAACATGACATATGGATGTGAATATTCATGTAAGAGTGCCGGGTAAATATGATGATTAAACTTTTCCATTGGAGCATTTTGCTGCCTGTGCGGGCTTGTGTCATTCAATAACCAAAAGTGAATGCAAAGCTGTTCTTAATCATGCAACCTGTCATTTTGCCGCTAATTTTCGGCACCAGTTCTTTCAATCGAACATCTATTGGATGGGATCTTATTTGAAAACTGCCATCTGAAATTTGATTATGACGCTCTATCTCAACCAAAACTGTGCGACTCTATTCAGAATAAGTGGTTTTTTTTTTTTTTTTTTGATCAAGTGAAAAGCCATTAAAATGCTCATGGTATTCTTGGCCGGAGCAAACACTAAAATGTCTTGAGTTTTAAAGGGGCCATAAGTGCTAATGAGTTTAAACTGAAAGTAAATTCAGTAATAATCAGTAATCACCGCAGGGGTGTTGATTGAATTCAGATGTGCGGTAAATCATCATAAATTACTTTGAAACCCAGACGTCTGATGTCTTCCAGTGTATTTATCATATATATAAAGCATCGTGTTGCAGATTCAATAAGCAACTGTCTACACTTTGCTCAGGAGGTCTACTTGGGTTTGGGGCTCTCATCCTGTCTGAGTGTAATTAGACTACTGCTTTGTGAAAAAGCTCTCTAAGTGCACTCACCTACTACGTGATTTTAAACTGGGTTTAACTACTCAAAGTGCCAGAGCGCTACCTGATAAGTGAAAATTTTATTCGTGTCTCAGCCCAAAACTGTCACTCTGAGATTGCGACACAGAGAAGCAGCAGCAGATGTAAGCATCCTAGCCTTACATTGCTCTAAACAAACGGTGCTTACAATCTCCCAGTAGTCCACATTTGCACCTGCATTTCCTCATTTCATCACACATTGTTTTTGGGAATGTTTCTGGGCATCAGACCTTTGCTAGTAAACACCTGACAGAGCCTCTATAACACCTTCAAGTCATCCGTACTGCTAGCAACTTGATTCTTGGAAATAACAGCTTTTAACGCATTCAGGTACATTTTCCTTGAGCTGCTACCTGAGGTTTAGTAGATGTGTTGCTGTCACTGTGACCTGGCAAACACATTCACGAGATGTGTGCCTCCCATCTGCCAGTATCAGCCAGGAGCAACTGTGCAAATTGTGTTTAGAGCCACAGGCACTAGAATGCCACTGTGTGTGTATGTAAATGCCGTTATAACACAAGGATTGGATACTGATTGGAGTGAATGAAACTCCATTGACTTTAAAAACTCCAGCTGTTAACACAGAGGGGGCTGCACTTTCATGCGTTTATGCGAGAGTCTAGCGGAGCAAAATATTCCTGCTCTGTATAACACCAAGAAACTCACAAAGGAACATATATTATATACAATACACCAGAGACCAGCTGGTTGATGGCAACTTGACCCCTACTGCACTGGCTGTTGTGAGAGTACACAATGTATTTCCCTCACGGCTGTTGGAGTTGTGTAGAGCCTTAGCAGAAGATATGAGAACTATACCAACAGTGGCTGCAGTGCGAGGTGAAACAAAAATAAAGCATGGATGTGATGAGTGTGGTTCTCATGGAACAGCTCCCTCTATGTTACACATGATGACTTCTGATGCCTGCAATCAGGACTGAATTTAGCCAGGCCTCTCCTAGAGTCAGTCTCACACTCATCCTCTCCTTTCAGAGTCTATTTAGGAACAGCCCAGCCAGTGTGTGAGTGGAATTGGGCAGTGAAACCCTTAAATGGTCTACATCAGTGAAGGCTTGTCACTCTCAGCTAGCAGGGTTTGGAAAATTGAGAAAACCTGAAATAAGTCCCACATGGTTTTGCGTGCTGTAGGTGTATTCTATGCAAATTTGGGGGGTGGGGGAGTTACAAGATGATTAAAAGGATTAAGAAAGACAAAGAAAGCCACGATTTATAGTTAGGTCCACAGTGACACATTTTTTTGTAGTTTTCCCTCTGAACACCATCACACTGGACTTTAAATCAAACAATCAAGATGGGATTCAAGTGCAGTCTTTCAGCTTTAGTTCAGGGGGCATAACAAAACATTTGCATTAACTGTTTAGAAATTACTGTCATTTTTATACACAGTTTTCTATTTTCAGGGCTCAAAACTAATTGGTCAAATGAACATGGGTAATTTTAAATCTCGTGATTGTTTTCAGTACACGGATGAAAATCCTTTGAATGACGGCTTGAAGTCTAAAACCCATGAACATCACTAAATGCTGTTTCCTCCCTTGAGATGCCCTGTCGGGCCTTTACTGCAGCAGTCTTCAGTTCCTATTTGTTTGTGGATCTCTCTGCTTTCAGTTTTGCCTTCAGTAAGTGAAAAGCATGCTGTGTTCGGTCGAGATCAGGTGACTCACCTGTCAGTTGAATTTCTTTGTCTTGAGAAAGTTTTGCAGCTTTCTTTGGGTTGTTGTCTATTTGTAGTCTCACGTGCCATACAATCAATTTGCAGGATTTAGCTGAGTAGAGAACATTTGCAAGCGCTTCTTTCACCAGTTACATCATTGATAAACACTGACTTGGTTCCACTGACAGCCACACATGCCTGTGCAATATTACCTTCACCCATGTTTGACAGATGATGTGATATCTTTCAGATTTGTAATAAGCTTCTGAGCTGTTCACTTATTTCTCATTTTGTTTCTCTTGCCATCATTCTGATACCAGTTAATCTTAGTTTCATCTGTCCAAGGATTTATTTTTCCCCAGATCTTGTCAATTTCCTTTAGAAGTCTAATCTGACTTTCCTTTTTTGGATTGCAACCAGCGGTTTGCACTTTGTTAGAAACTTTTGATATAAAAATGTGCAGTCATGAAGGCATTTTGGCCAGATGTTGTGAAGGTGGAAAGAATACTGTGATCGTCTACTTTAGTCGTCTTCCGTTGTCGTCCTGGCACTTTGTTATTGCTGAGCTGGCCGATGCATTCATTCTTTTAAAGAATGCACCACTTTTGATCCTTGGATCTCTGAATGTTCCTTTTTTATTACTCCTGCACAAAGTAAACATTATTCTAATCACTCTAGCTGCTGGAGAAACTGTGGGGCCCAAGAAATAAAACACTTCCTTGTTTTGGTCTTGCCCATTGATCATCACTTTTTGGGTATCGATTCATTCTGAGTTACAGATTATTTTTAGTATGCAACTTCCTTTTAATTGGGATGAACTTTTGTTTGGATATTTATACTCAGTGAATGTAGATAAAATGTCCAAGCTGTTGTATGGTATTCTGAGTCTGGCTGCCCGTAAGACTATTACCAAGAAATGGCTTAGTGTGAAAATTCCATCAATAAATGACTGGTATGAGATTGTTTATGGGATGTTTAAAATGGAAAGAATTACCTTCATTAATAGACTCCAATATGACATATTTAGTGATATTTGGGATAAATGGAAACATTACATTTTGTCAAGGAGACCCGATTTTGTTTGAATCTCTGTAATTATGTATGCCATATTTTTGAACTGTTATGTGTATATATGTATATGTCAGTATGTATGTGTATAGGCAAATACATATGTATGTAGGTATGTGTATGTACGTGTGTGTGTGGTTATTTATATATATATATATATATATATATATATATATATATATATATATATATACACACTAGATGGTTCACCCGTTTGTTTATTTTTGATTATTTGTTTATTTTGGTTTATTTGTGTTCATATAGGTTGTTTATTAAAAAATAAAATAGCAAAAGCCTCCAAAAAAAAAAAAAAAAAAAAGGATCTCTGAATGTTCCAGTGGACAGCTGATTTCATCACTTGAAATCAAGTCCAGATCTTTCATCTGCATAATTTGCCATAGAATAATCAGGAAAATATCCTGACTTGACCATGAAACTGCTTGTCTGTTAGGAACTGTTTAGAAATATATATAATTCTGTATACTTGACTTTAATTGCTAGAAGGTTAATGCAACACTTTTGTTAAACCCTTGAAATAAACCAAAAACAATAACATCTTGATTGCATACATTTGAAAACAAACAAACAAACTATCCCATTGTCTCAGTCCCCCTAAGTAACTGTAGATGGACTGCATAAACTATGTTCATTATCTCTGTTAACCTTTTCTTGCTTTGTAAGAAATGTTACTTCCTCAAAATTAGTCAGATGCAGCACAACACTCTTGGGTTGAAGTTTTCACTGCAGATGGTATATTTGTGTGTATATTTGTTTTTATTCAATAGTAATTTAGCTGAGCTAACCATGAGAAGGTGAATATGACCTTTTAAAACAATCGGTTAATTAGGAGCACAGCATGCAACACAAAGGAGGTTTCTAAGGAAACAGAACTTAGCAGATTAACAAGAACTCATCCCCTAGCCATATCAGCTGTGATAGATACTGCAATCTCCTTCAATAACAAGTACATTCCAAACTTCACCATTTTTTTTTTACCTTCAAGCTAAAGTGCTTTCTACAGCCAGTCAGAAATCAGATTTGAAAATGCCCCAATATGTCCCTGTGCTGACATTCATAGCAGAGGTCAGTGGCTGATGATAACCAGCTTCAGCTGCAAGCAAAATCAGCCAAGGCCAATACAAGAAAGCATGGTAGGTGGTACTGGATGAGTAACATCCTTGATCCCCTGCTCATCACTCTCTCTTTTTATACTGACACTAAGGACAACTACTGTGACCACTGGGGCTAATCATGTCCACCTCTGTGTCTCAGCTGAATGATACCCTAGAGAAAGACATGGCCCTCTCCAGCAGATGAGCCTATATCCCAAAAACCCAAGCTATTACGCAGTGGCGCTTTTGTTGTGGTTCTCGGCTGAATACTCATTTAACTGTATGAGGTATTCCCATGTGAGGACCTTCTCTTTATACCGCATAGAAAGGAAAAATAAAACATGAAGAGGACAGACTATCCTTGGCATAATCCCCTGACAGAAAGCTGGCAGATAACTAATAATGCTCCGAAGCTCTGGTGGTGGTAATAGTTCTGGACGTAAAATCTAATTTGAAGCCTTTAAAGGAGTGATTGTGTACCTGCCGATGGATGAAGACAACTGAGCCCAGGAGACGCCACGTTCCTCCCTGTCGGTCAACGTGGAGCATACGCAGGATTTGCAGAAAGCGAATCCCTCTGGTCAATTAAAAAAAGGAAAAGGAAAAGAGAAAGTGTTTATATGCAGATATTATTCTGCACAGCAATTGAATGTTAATATTCATGTACACACAATAAGGCTAGAAATATTTGGATACCTAAAGCATGTGTGCATCTTTATCACATATATCATAAATGGTCTCCATTCCTATGTAAAGACTTTCGACGTTTACAAATGTTAGAGCAAACTCGTCTAATTTTCTCCCTTGCAGAGCAGTGAGCAATAGGCCTGGCTTGCAGTTCAGCGATTAATCCCAGAGGTGTAGTGCGTTCTTACAGTCATGGCTACAAACTTTCACCCCAAACTGATGAAATCATTCATTATGGATCTGGCTTTGTGCAGGGGCACATAGTTATGTTATCGAGGCCAGAGGTACAGAAAGCATCTTCATACTTATGGCCACAAAGTTTCTGCTTGTACATACTAGACACAGTCTCTTACCTTACAGCAGAGGTTGCAAAGACCTGGCCTTTGGAGCCCACTGACAGCACAATTATCGAAGCAACAACTACAATCAGATCTGCATTAATAGAGAATGAGGGGTCTTAAGCCTACATATGCCATAACCAATAACGTATATAATGTGAATAATTTTACACTCATGATTATGATGTTAATACAACAAGAAATGAAGAAGTGTTGTTCTCCATATGGGGGTGGGCTGGGACGGTGGGGGTCAAAGAAGAAAGTACAGAAAGTGTTATTTTAGGAAATTATCATCAGTTTTCATTTCAGAATGATTCTATTAATCAATTTAGCTTAGACGGGTTACAAACATTATTAATACTAATTTTCGTTGCAACATATTAAAAAAAAACACCTGGAGGCATCAAATTTAAGAATAACAAGCTGAAGGTGGAAGAAATATTGCAGTGACAGTTTTAATTTCATGCTGAATTTGTCTTAAATATCTCATTTTGGGATAAAGCTCAGGGTATATTACAGATATTGTTTAAATTTTGTGCGTGGGTGGGGAGTGATACGTCTGTCAGCATGCATGTGTAAAGATATGTGTGTGTGTGTGTGTGTGTGTGTGTGTGTGTGTGCGCACGGGGGTTGTGTTGCTACCTATAACAGATATTGGCTTCCTGGCAAAGCGTAGTCGGCCCCAGATGCCAACATATTTACTGCGGCAGCCTGCTGACCAAAGGCGGACAAAATATTCCACACCGAAGAACACCACAAGGACAATCTCCTGTCAGACAAATGAGGGAGAGGGAGGGAGGCAGAAAAAAACAAACATCAGATGCTGCTGCAGGATGTTCGGTCCAAAAACGGCTGAACAGCTGCTTTGACTAAAACAATGTTTGTGTTACAAATAATATGGATAAAATTTTATTAATGACCAAGATAAACCTGATAACACTTCCAATTTGTCAAATATTCATTTTCATTCTGTGCATACTCCATTTGCTACTTCCTATTTGTATCACATCATTGATTTGAGTCAGCTGTTAAAATAATTTAATGTACCCGATAAAATAAGGTATGTGTGCTTTCTGACAGGTGGTTCAATAATCTTTATCTCTATTTAGTTGATTTTGAAACTGGATTTTGATTATTTTACGCATCCAAGTTATTAAATCTTGAAGAATATATATGTGAGCAATGTTACATAAAGTCTTTCTATCTCCGGAGAGAGTCGTATAAGATCTGATATATTTCAGAGTGACTTGAGTACTTGAGTCAGCATCAGCTGGGATTTGATGAAAATCTGGAGGTGTACAGTGAGAAAAAAAGTAGGTTATAAGACCTCTGTAGCCCACCCATTACTGCTGATTGTGGCAGCTTGAAGCTACATTAGCTGCTCACATGCAAATGTTACCCAAGGATTAAGGTGGTTTTAAAGAGGAAGGCAAACTATCCATTTTGATATTTTTCTTTTAATAGAACAAAAACTTAAACATTCTAGAAAAGATACTTGATTTTATCTGAAGTTCCACTCATTTTTCTGTACAGTGAAGCTACAGCCAGCAGCTTGTTAGCCTAGCTTAGTTGTCTACAATGACAGTGTAGAGGAGAGAAAACTCATAGCAGCTGGTAGCCCAGTGACAGTTTCTTAGGTTATACTGACTAATTAGCCAATGTGAAAGTTTCGTGAATATAATTTGCAGCTTGCCCCAAATAATTAAATCCAAGCATTGACACAGTTTCAGAGCTAGAAAAATAGCCAATGTGAAAATGCCTTAAAGTCATACTGTATCTGAACACTAACTGAAAACAGCTTTCTGACCGCACTACTGTATACACTTTCCTGTTGAGCTGATGTTCTCAGTCAGTGATTATGGGTGTTACAGAATAACAGGTTCAGTCTGTTTTGTAACTCTCAGTCATACTATGTTTTAAAATGGTGATTAGCTATAGTATGACACTGGCTCACTGGCTAAGGAATTTTCAGTTAGAAGTCCTATCCCACAGTCAGACCTGCGCCTCTTGTCACATTGTGTCAGAAAAATGTTTACTATTGCGTTCTCTTAAGCTAAGTTCCCTCTTTGTGATAATAGCAAAGCAGTTATAGTTTAATAACCCATTTAAAATGTATTATGGCTTAAAGTTATGCTTGTTTAGTGTCCTAGTACCTTTATGTGATAGGTAAGTCCAAATTTCTTTAAGATCTTTGAGTATTAGCCTGTCAATGCACCTTGCTAACCAAATTAGCAGCCAGTGCTACTCTTAGCCACATTTCCTTGTCAAATGTGGTTCACCCAGTTTAAAAAAATCAAGATGCTAAAACGGAAGTTGCAAACTTAAAGGCTTCAAAATGGTGGCGCAAAAAGCAGTGGGGCGTATAACAATGGTAACTTTTTACCATCTATTGTAGGAACTAATCTGGTCTAAAGCTAGCAAAGCCTAAAAGCAGCCTATCAACATATTTAAGATATACTTATCATTAAAAGCTACATTGCTTGTGTAACCCAGCGGTTCTCGGACTATGTGGACGGCACTGATGGGGCAACAATAAACTCCACGTCTCAGGATAGCAGCTGTCTGACAGTAAATCACTAACCTTTCCTTAGTTTTTTTTTCCTTTTCTTTTTTTTTGGATGAGCAAATTGTGTTTTAAGGGCGAAATCTCAGAGCTTTTGGAGCTGTTTTCATTATTTGAGCTAAAAATGTAAACCTTGTAAAATGAAAATTGGATTATTAATATGCTAAAGTGTGTTCCTGGAAGCTAATATGTAAAATGTTAAAGTATTTAATTTTGCAGCAAGGATTTCTACATCAAAAGCTCTGGTGTGAATCGTGGAGCTTGAGTTAAAAGTTTTCTTTACCTCGGGTACTGCAGAGCAATTTTTTTTAGTGTTTGTGTCTTGTGTCTGCACGTGACAACAGTGTTATAGACAGCTGATAGATGCACTGAAAAAAATAATCAGTGGGATAAACGTAAAAAAATTATTGTAATCGGTTGCACGAAATTAAGCTATGTTTGGTTAACCTTAGTTTTTTATGTTATACCTGCACACATTTTTCTGGTAACATGAACATGACTTTTTTATGTTGTTGTTATGTTTTTCATTCCGGTCAAATATTTATACAGTAGAAACCACTTGTTTATCAGACATGAACTTTTTGTGTTAATTGTACTGGACTACTATATGTTATATTGACAAGATTATTTTATGGTAAGCTTATTTTATTTTATAACAAATTTCTAATATATAATATATAATCTAATATATAATTGAGTGTTCAATAAATAAAACTAAATTAAGGCTGATCTTACTGTATGTACTGTACACTTTGTCTTCAATCAAAGAAATAAGCAAAACATTTTTGAACAATGACCTGTATTTTTGAAAATACTACACAGTTGTAACAACGGACTTTCAATTCAGGCTTCCAAAATATACATGAGTCATATTTGTACAATGCATCTCTTGAAAAACATTCCACAACATTCCTCAAAGTTATCTTCTGTAAGTTGAATTCAACATTGTGGGGCCTTATGACATCGCGCTTATGTAAAAAATAGTTTTTTAAATGTAAGAGCCATAAGGTAATATGGCAACAGGGGTGTAATTATTAAAATGACACAAAGAAGAGACTTAAAATAACATTATAACCCACAGGCACACAACCAAGAGACCTAAACTGATTAGTATTGGCTTGCTTCTATCACTAAACATCACAATCACTAATACTAGACGATGCAATCTGTTTGTAGTGGTGCACCTTGGGAAAAAAATTGCAAACTGGTGAAATTGGTGCAAGGCACCATTTCCATTGAGAAAAATGGACATTCAAAGTTTTAATTTTTTTTTTAAAAGAGCCATGGCTTGAAAAGTGAAAACTGCAGTAATAAAGGCCCCGAGTTGAAAAGTGCCAGAAAAATAAGTTTCACTATGTACTGCAACTTTACTAGTGCTGGCTTAAAAGAAAGGATGGTACATATTCGAAGAGGTAAACATGTTGTTCCCACATCATAACTGGAAAACTGTTCAATCGTACAGTCTGGTCCTGAAAACCTGGGCCTTCTTTGAAAGGCTGTTCCTTTTGAGCTCCATAACCAGTTTCTATAATACCTCGAAGGTATACTTTTCCAGTGGGTAGGTGAGGTTCAAAGTGTACATTAGTCCAAACAGCATTGCAGCTGCTAGGGTATAGTTATCCAAATCCTGCCAGACTCTCTGGCCTTCAAGGACTATCCGGATGTCCTCAGGGCTGCTATTGACATCTCTTGACTTTATGATGTAAATTCCCATGGTTGTTTCCTTATTAGATCGTTGGATAATGGCTTCATCTGTGGCCTAGAAAATGCAGAATTCCAAAATTTAATTAAACAGAACACTGGTCAAAGAACATTATACCAAATCTTATTTTAATCTGTGTCACTATTCCAAAAAATGTTAACATTAACACATTAGGTGAACAAAAATGGATTCATTACAGCATGTGATTTGAGTCCTCAGAATGCTCAAAAAGGTAATGCATTTCTGAAGTGAAATCTCCATGCAAAGAAGCAGAATACTGTCAGAGCATAGAGAGGTGTTCAACTATGAACTCCACACATAGTTCTAATGCAGGTAAAAGAAGAAAAAAAAAACGCACCCATGGTAAATTGTGAAAATCCCAGGTGATTTTCAACATACTCCTGGCATAGAGTGACAAGCAGCATTTTGTTAAAATTATTATTTTCCCTAAAGTGTATACACAAATTAATTTTTTTCTTACCTGGGCCGTGGGCTCCAGAATGTTCTGAAGTCTTCTTCCTATTTGTCCTCCTCGCCTTTTGAAGACCTTTATTAGTTTGTCAGATAGCACATCTATCTGCGAGAGTAATATGGACTGCAGTGGCATGGTGGTAATGCGCTTAAACTCTGTATCTAAAAAGAGAAGTTGTCACATAAAAATGCTGTCAAAATCTCAAATCTCACAAGGTTACATCCACACAAAGTTGTTATTTTTTGTCATATTACTATTTATTAGCTATGGGTCCCATGTTGCTGAGCAGTTCCATAGTTGCCCTTACTTCCATACCACCCAAAGCCTGTTTGCAACCACAGCAGTTGCCTCCTTCTGGCCATTTTGCAGTTCTGCCAAATGACCCAGAAACTACATCTATTATTGTCATATACACATCAAGGTCTTTCATTAATACTTAGTTAAATTAGTTAATTTGACTTCTCCAGAAAATTTACCTTACAGAATGATGCAAATCTTCACTAGTAAATAAAATAATGTTATTAAAACCTTAACTGTAACACCTCTACGTAACAGCGCTAGAGAATTGTTCTGAAGCAACACCAATCTGCCCTTCAGCAGGGATAAGCACCATATATCGATACAGAAAAAATAAATTTAACATATTTATATTGTCATTATTTTTATCTCTTTAAGCCCTCCTCTCAGTCTCTCTATAAATCAGTTAAACAATTTGTTGGGTTTTTGTGTGTCTTTAACATGTTATCAGTACATTACATTCACTGCCCCAGAACATGAAATAAAGCCCCACGTCATGCACTTCCTCTCCTAATGAGTACTGCATAGGTGTCATGCCCTAAATAAACCGACTTTAGTGAAGACCCCCACCCCCCCCCCGCCCACCCCATGGCAAACTAGCTTATTTAACTGTTTAACTAAAACATTTTAGGTAACAAACCAGTTAACTAAATGGACACGAGTTTGTTAGTCTGTATTCACTGAGAAAAAACAAGCGAATGTGACTGGGCACACACTGAAAAAAAGCTAATGCAC